GACTGGACTTACTACTGTCATACAGTCTTGGAAGCCCATAGGGGGTCACTATGAGGGAACATTGACTTCTATGGCAGTGAGTTTGGTTTTGTTTTAGGGATTCCATACGTACAGCGTAAATTACCTACATCCTAGAGACTGGTTGGTAGTTGAGGACTTAGGAAACTACATTATTTTTGTAGTTCTTGGTGTGAATTTGCAAGTAGGCTCTGAGGGTTCTACGACTTTAGAAAAACCTCATTTATTAGAAAGGCCTGGACTTGAGAGTCAGTTAATATCATAGCTCTGTCATCTTAAGGAAGCTAACCCCTTTGAGGTATAGTTTCATTATCTGTGAAAATAAACAAATGCAGGTATTGCCCCAGGTGGTTGGGATGATGGTTTGAGAGCTGTGGGAAAGGACCTTGCAGAGACTTGTCTCCCAGCACGTTTGCCTTGTGAACTTGGCCAAGTACAAGGACCAGGGCGTTAAGACAGGTGGTGTGGAAAAGGTTTTTGAGTCTCCCCTTGAATTGTTGGAAGAATTTATTTATGTAGCTTTACAAATCTCAACTCAGACGAGCTCAGTGCTGTGGAGTCGATCCTTGTAAGACCCTGTAGGACAGGGTAGAGCTCTCTGGTGTTTTTAAACTGCCAGCCTCGTGGTTAAGCAGCCCTCACGAAACCACTGTGCCACTAGGACTCTTTATGTAGCGTTATGGACACCTAAAATGTAATTGCTTTTAACCATATATCTAATGAGCCACCTTTGGGAGAAATGGTGAAATCATATCTAATCAATACTGTAGTGGAAAAATCTGGGAAGTCCTGCTAAAATGACCAGTATGCCCTAGCGGGGTACGAGTTGGCATTGCTGAGCAGTTGGAACCCACCAGCTGCTACGCGGGAGAAAGGTGAGGCTTTCTGCTTCTGTGAAGTATTTACAGCCTAGGGAAACGTTCGGGTCTTAAAGGGTAGCTATGAGTTAGAATCAACTTGATGGCAATGAATTTGGAAAAGATAAAAAAAATTGGACTGACATGCCATAGTTACACTTCAGCTCTGAAGTACAGAATCCTGGTAGAAAAAGACTAGTGATGAGTCTAAATCAGTGGTTCTCAACCTTCCTAATGCTGTGACCCTATAACACAGTTCCTCATGTTGTGATCCCCAACCAAAAAATTGCTTTTGTTGCTACTTTATAACTGTAATTTTGCTATTGTTATGAATCAGGCAACCCCCGTGAAAGGATCGTTTGACCCCAAAGGGTTCACGACCCACAGTTGAGAACCGCTGGACTCTAAATGGACATTATTAAGCATTGTGATTTATGTTTGGCAGGTTACGGTGAATCTGGGAAATGACGATTTTGGAGTTCTTGTAGCAAAGCTGATGATTTTGAGTTTTGTTAGTATAATCAGTGAGTGTCAATATCAGGTTTCCTTCTGAGTTGTGTTGTTTTCTTTGAATTAGTCGACAAAGGGGGAAAACCTGTTGGTCAAGAATGTTACGTTTCTGCTGATCATTATTGCTTAACAGGAAGTTCATCTTTGTAGGCAAATGCGACAGACCAGGAAGACCTGCCAATCCGGTATGTCTCTAACCTGTATCTTATTATTGCTTGAACAAAACTCAAAAGATGGCTGAGCTCTGTGATGTCAGCAGGAAGCCTTTTAAGGAAATTCCCGCTCAGGGCTAGTGGCTAACAAAAACCTTCACAGAGGGGAAAGCTGTGAACTAGACGCAGTGGGACATTAACATGAAAGGGGGGAGGGGTGTGGTGGAAAAAATGTTGTGTCAGTAGAGAGATGTACATATATAAAGTGTAATGAATGAAGCCTTTCTCTAATAGGAAGCCTTTGATCCACAGAAGGAAAAGAAAAATCAAGTGAGTGTTCTACTCTCGATAAAAAGGAACATGGATAATTATTAAATTAAAAAAAGAGCTAAATTCAGGACATTTAATTAGTTTTTAAAACTCATAATAAAATGCATATTGGTTCTGGGAAATGAATATTTGAGAGACATAGAGAAGGGGCAAAGAGGAAGAACTCAGTCCGGACACTAGTCTGGCATCTATTAATTTTGTAGCTCTAACCCCCCTTGTGTATGTTTGAAAAGAAAGGGGAAGATGAAACCTGCTAGTATTCACTGCTCAGTGCTGGTACTGTCAGATGCTGTGCTCTGAGGGAGAATATGAAGCTGGGTGCTTCCATGAAGATTGAGAGCCTCAGAAACCCTATAAAGGGTCGCTATGAGCCAGAATTGATTCAGTGGCAGCGGGTGTTTTTTGTGTGGATACTTCCATGAAGAAGATGGGTTCGATTCACACACCACCCGTCTGTCAGTGGAGGCTTGCAGTTGCAGTGATGTTGAGCAGGTATAATCAGAGCTTTCAGAATAAAGATAGACTGGGAAGAAAGGCCTGGTGCTCTCCTTCCAAAAATTAAGAAAACCCCTATTGCTCACAGTAGTCTGATCGACACCACTCATGGGGATGATACACAGCACAGGACAGCATTTTGTTTGGTTGTGGATGACTCGACAGCAGCTAACAACACTACCCTGAGGATTCAGGAGGTCCAGAAATGAGTTTGTCAGTCAAGTAGTTGTGCTTTGCTAGAGGCTGTTATGCATTTGTGGTTTTAAGAGTAAACTATAGTTTGGAAAGCATTGTATTAGTCATAGCTCACAATAACCGCAACAAGCCATGCCCTATAGAACAGAATATAATTGCTCTCTTAGGGCTTCCGAAGTAAAATCATCTTTTTCTCATGGGTGACTGGTAGATTTAAACCAGTGACCCTGTTATTAGCAGCTCAACACTCAACGTACTGTGCCACCAGGGCTCCTTATTGTTCACTAGCTACTTTGATTAAAATTGGATTCCCAGTTTAGTCATAGGCCCCACTGTAATAACACTTGAGGGTGAAAATGTGAGTGCTCTTTATTTGTTTGAGATTTGATTTATGTGATCTCTTTTTAAGTTTAGGATATTAAAACATTTTTATTGTCTAAGATTAATCATAGACAGTGTTTAAGTTGCTTTGCCTACAATGTGAAAAGTCAACATTTTAAGTCATTGAATATGAATTATTAACAAATATTGGAATTTTGAAGTGACTTGATGACAGTTAGATGTATGATTCTTTCTGGTAGACATAATCTTTGCTGTTAAACCCAAAGACTCTGGACAGTATCACAGTGCATTTTGTTTTGACATAATATTGTGGCCCTTAAAATTGCCAGATTCTGTGAACAAAAGGCATTTTCGGAAGCGGTGCGCCATCTAGGGAATTAGCTTTTTCAGGATGGCTTTTAGTTAGGTAGGCTGGGTGGTTGCAGCAATGGTCTCAAACAGCAATCCAGGATTGGACAGTGTTTCCTTATACCTGGTCCGGGAGCTAAGAGTTGGAACTGCCTCAGCGGCACCTATCCACCACCACCACCACTGCATATTGTTGTAGTGCTCATTTTCATGTTGATTAACTTGGGACTTTTGAGAATGAACCTTGGTTTCTTCTGTTCCTGGAATCATGCCTTATCTGACCCTTGGACTTGAGGGTTTGAGGAAAAGGGCCTGGGCCTCACTGCAACGTAGATGTGGGTCCTTGGACAGGTTATTTCTTTCTGCTCCTCTTTTCTGAGAATTAGAGCTACTGAGTGTAAAGGGCCTGGCTCATTAGTAGCCCTTTAATAAAGGGTAGTTATTAGTATAATTACTGCATAGGTATTTTGGCAGTGATGTGGCAGTTACGGAAGTAGAAAATTAATTTTCAAGTAAGTTCAGTCTTGATGTTAAGTTTTTGTGTCATCCTGTTTAATGTCTTTTGCACTCGCCTTTATAGTTTGCTTAGACTTTGCAGTTTAATGAAGAAAAATTTTCATGGTAAATAGAACACTGATATCTAGAATGAGCTTATGAATTTAAAGGCCCGGTCTAGTAAGTTGTTGATTAGTGTTCTTTATTATTGGAAAATGATTGACCATTGTAGGGGGTTGTTAACTGAATCAGAAGCTTCCACTTAAATTATGTCATGTATTTAAAAATGTTATTTCAGTGTAGAGGATTTGGACAGTGTATATTCACCATCTTATATTAGCCAGCAACTTTGGTGGCTCTGTGGGATAAGTGTTAAACTGCTAACCCTAAGGTCAGCAATTCAAGCTTACCAGCTGCTCTGGGGGAGAAAGATGAGGCTGTCTGCTCTCAGGAAGATATACAAATCTCAGAAACCTCATCTAGGGTCATGATGAGTCTGAATGGGGAATATGTAACAAATCAAAAGATTTCTTAGGTGCTTTTATAAATGGCTTTATTGGGAGGTATTTGAGCCCTCCCAGGCTATTAATTGAGGAGTCCTGGTGTCATAGTGGTTAAAGGGCTTGCCTGCTAAATGAAAGGTCAGTGATCAGAACCCACCAGCCGCTTCCACGGAGAGAGATGTACATGGCAGACTCCTTTTGTAAAGACAGACAACTCTATGAGGCATTTCCATTTTGCTTTGTAGGGTTGTTATGAGTTGGGATTGACTCTGTGGTGGTGAGTTAGGTGTTTGCATATCATTAATTTTTGCTGACAAGCTGCTTTTGTGGTAGTGGAGCTGTCTTAGAAATTGGGTATGGAAGTTTATTGTGCTTTAATGGATATGGAACTGAATGGTGTGGGACAGTTTACATGGATAGTAGAGTAGGTTTGTTTATAGTTGCTCTCAGGCTGTTCGTCATAAACGAGTAACTAAGGTTAGTGATGCTTCATTCTTTGCCATGTGGTTTTTCTTGTACCTTCTGTCAACACACCGGTGAGGAATGCTGTCACAGATCTTGTATGCCAAATAGCTGACTCGGGTTGTAACTTTCTGTGCCTCAGATCTACCACTCCAACAGCCCTTCCAGTCTTGGTGGCTGTCCTTTGCCACTGGTGCCATGGTGGGTGTATGGATTGCTTTCTGTCTTTCAACAGTTGCCGAAGTGCATGTTTGGGATTTTGTTGAAGAAAATTGGATACAGTAAACGGAAAGAATCTTGGAAGATGCTTGACTGCTTGCTGTCTTTTCTCAAACTAGTCTGAAGGGGAATTCCTCCCCTCCCCCCAGGCATTCTGGATTGGTGGATCTGAAGTACAAAATATTTTCCAGGTAAGCAATTGCCCTGTATTGTTTTGTTTTCAGCTCACCGAAAGCAACTTAAACAAATTCTTTACTTATTTTTCCATTCATAGGGAAAAGAAGAAATGTTAGATAGTTGTACCTAGTTTGGCTATGAAAGTGTACATGACAGAATTGCTAATAAAAACTTTGTTTCCTATAATAAGTGCAGTTATTTTTATTGTAGCTTCAATTGGTTTATGATCATAGCTAAGTGGGAATGCAGTAGACAAGGATTATTTTGTTTGGGAAATACCTTATAAAGTATGGAAAGCAAATGGTAATTTTTGAAATATCATTACAAAAATTATTGTTATTTGGTCAAAATATATTTTGTAGCTATCATGTAGAACCCTAGTGCTGTTGAGTAAGCGTTGGACTGCTAACTACAAGGCTGGCAGTTCAAACCCACTAGCCACACCATGGGAGAAAGATGAGGCTGTCTGCTATGGTAAAGATGTATCGCCTTGGAAACCCTATAGGGTCAACAGGAATCAGAATCAAACTTGATGGCAGTACAGTAGGGTGTCTTGTAAGTAGTAGTCTTTCATTCTTAGGACTCGAGTCTTCTCAGGAAGGATTCCTAAATGTAGCACCTGTTTATTAAGTATCTGCTAATTTCCTGGCACAGTGCTCAAAGTGCTCGGCTGCAAACCAAAAGGTTGACTGCTTTCACCAACCCGTTCTAGAGGTGGAGAACGATGTGGCAGCCTGTTTTCATAAAGGGTTACAGCCTTGGAAACCCCAGGGACGCTAGTTCTACTCAGTCATGTAGGGCTGTGATGAGTTGGAATCTACTAGATGGCAGTGGCGTTGTTTGGTGGTCGGCACTTATATTTCTTATTTAATTGCCCAATGCTTTACCTGCACTTTTACAGATAAGTCAAATGAAGCTCAAAAGCATTTACGGTAGTGCCAGTTGTCCAGGGTCATACAGCTAGTAAATAACAGAGCCCGCGTCAAGCTTGTGTATGTGTCTATGTGTACCCAAAGTTATGGCGCTTCTCATGTTTTAAGTATGCCGAAGTTTGCATGCCTATCTGGAAGAATGAGATGCAGCTAGCTAATAAGCGTTTCTGCTCAAAGAACACATACTGGGCTAATGTTTGGCATGTTATGTTAGTCAGGTCAGATGCTCTGCCTACTTGAACCATAAGATCTTTAGTCAGATTATCAAGTGAACGTAAAGGTAATTTAAGTATAGGAGGGACAATGCATTGAAATGTTAAAATGTACATTCTACTATGGAGAAGTATTGTTTGGCTTCGTGAACTCAAACCTGTATCTTCTCAGTTTCCTCCTTCGTATGTATTGGTTATATACATAACTCAGTAGCTCATACTGTAGGCTTAAATTTTAAAAATTTACCATCCTTATCTGTAAGACTCAAGAACTCTTTGAAAATAGGACTTTCTCTAGTTGTTCAGATCATTCACTTCCTTTAAGCTTATTTAACACACACACACACACACACACACACACACACACACACACCCACACACACCCAACCCACCCACCCACCCACCCATAGGCTTTACTACTCTGATTTTTGATCCTTGGTTTAGTTTAGTACCTTTCCATTTGCAAATATCCTGGGTGAGCATTTTCACACCTGTCATGTGCAGGGTAGTCTGGGTGGTGGTGATGGCAGAGGCAGCAGGAGTAAAGGCTGAAGGTAGTAACAGCTAACTTTATTCTAGGTACTTTCTATATGAATTCATCCTCACAGTAACCCAGTGAGACAGGCAGAATTATTTCTACTTCATAGCTGAGCACACTGAAGACTTAGGCTAGGTCACATAGCTACTATGGGACAAAGAAACGGTTTGTCCTGGGTTAATGTGTTATGAACCCAGGCAGTTCTGACTTCAGAAAACAGGCTTCTAATCTGTGTGCTAACTGCCTTTAGTTTACACCATTGGTTTCTGCCCCCTTTTCAGAAAAAGAATCACTCGGCTTACCCCTGGCAATGAAGTACTTTTGTATTATAGCCCACAAGTCAAGATAAAGGTATCTTTTTTGCCCCCAGTGAATAGTTTGAGCGAGCCCCCCCCCCCACGCCCCCCCAGTGTCAATGGTGTAGTGCCTCATCTTGTAATAAATCAGTTGCTGTCTGGTTGATCTTGACTCATGGTGATTCCATCTGTCAGTAGAACTGTGCTTTGTAGGGTTTTCAACGATGGCTTTTGTGCAAATAAGTCAACAGACCTTTGCCCCCAACATGCCTCTGGGAGGTTTGAACTGTCAGGCTTTAGGTTAGCAACTAAATGATTTAGTTAAATATTTGCACAATCTAATAGAAGGGCAGACATTCTAAAGACTAAAACCATATTTTTATTTCAAGGAATTATTGTAAAGGAAACAGGTAATAAGTATTGTGTCTTATCTGCTGTAGAAAGCAAATTGTTTAGCCCAGGGGTTGGCAACCTTTTGAGAAGGAAGAGTCTTGTCAAATAATTTAAAAATTATTTGAGAGCCATGAATATATTTTTACAAACAAATGAAACTACCATTGTCTGAATAATATTCTTTAACGTTTTTCAATTTTACTTCAGAGCCATAGGACTTGCAAGCTGCAGTTTGCCAACCCCTGGTCTGGTATCAAGTTTTGTATCTGCCAAAGAGGGGTTACCTATCAGACTGCTTCCCCAGAGGCCTCACAGTGCTATGGCAACCCTCCAGAACAGCTCTATCCAACAGAACTTCTTGTAGTGATGGAAGTGTAAACTGCAGTGCTCTTCAGTCTGGTGGCTACTAGCCACAGGTGGTTCTCTTGAAATGTGGTTCTGTGATTAAAGAAATGAATTGTAAATTTTACTTAATTTTAATTTAAATCTATATAGCCACATGTAGTTAATGGCTTCATTCTTGTATGGTGCATTTTTTGAATTTGCTAGTATCTTAGATTTAGCACTTTCAGAATCAAATTTGATTCAGAATCAAATTTCAGAATCAAGCTAAAAGCATCTTTTAACTCCAGGGTTGGACTCACATTAGCTGGGTTTATAAGACTGATGTATATAGAACCAGAATGCCAACTTGCTAATTTACAATGATTTACACTGTTGGAATGATTAGAATATTCTCTTCTGATAGTCATATTTGTGTACTAGATCCTAACTCATATGCTTTTATTCTTTAAAAGTGAAAAATGAGGGACATGAATAATCAAGTCAAATGATTGGAACATTCTCTGCATCTACGTAAACTTTACCTACCAGGTCAGATCATAATCAGATGGCTTGGTTAGTCTGAACTCAGCCAAAGTAGTCAGGCATCTGATAGATTGCAACAATGCCATTCAGCCTAATTTAAGGATGGCTGGTGTTTTCTTATGGCAAAACTTACCCATTTATTTTAAATGCACTTGTGATTTATGGATCTGTGAGGTCCTTTACTTTCCTTAGGTGCCTTCATTACCATTACCATCTGTTCTTGGTTCATTTTCACCTCTTAGTGGCAGATGAGTTTTTCTTGATTCTCACAATAACACATGCATTCACCTAATTAATTTGATCTGACAGTGTGTAGTAGACTAGGAACATAGAGTGCTGTAGGAACACATACCTGGTGGTCCATTGTATCTTTGCGTCCCTTCGTGTTCTCCAATGGAGCTGGGTTTTGGTTACTATGCTGTTACTGTGGTTCCTGCTCTTGCTTCTCCTCCTTTTGGAGTAGGGAGAATGACATAATCAAATTTGTATTTAGAAAGTTCACTTTAGCAGGATAGATGGAAGCGACTTAAGCATGGAGAGTGACACGAGAGCAGTGATGAAAGTGAACCGCGGTGTGGACAGTGGAGATGCTGTGGGTGTGCCGATTGCATCTGCAGAGCTTGAGCTATTACTATAGGAGTGGGAGAGGGGAGGAATCTAGTATGAATTTCAGGTTTTTGCCTTAGGCATCTGGATGGATTTTTGTTCTCATCTCCAAGAGAGGGAATACTAGAAGAGGGGGTTTGTGGAGAAGTAATGATTTCAGTTTGGGTTATCATGAGCTTGAATTGCCTATGGGTGAATTATCCAAGAGAAGTGTCTAGTAGGAATATGGGTCTGGTGCTAACTGGAAAGACCAGGGTTAAGAAAGATTCCGGAGTGTTTAGCTTCAGGGTTAATAACTGACTTTAGTACTATTACAAGATTACCCGGAGTATAGATTGAAAGAATCTCTATGTTGGTATAGGTGTTGGGTCACTAGCCACGAAGTTAGTCGTGGGAAACCACCCACTACTCTGCAGGAGAAAGAGATAGCTTTCTAGTCTTGAAAAGATTAAGTTGTGGGAACCCACTGAGGCAGTTCTACCCTGTCCTATAGGGGCATTGTGAGTTGGAATCAACTTGATGGCAGTGAGTTTGGTTTGAGTGCATTGGTATATGGGAATACCAACAGATAGGTATGGGCTGTACCTAAGGTCAGAACCTGAGATCTTGTAATACTGATCAATAGGGGTTGTTACCACTTTCCTTTTTCTCTTGACTTGGGGATTCTGCTACAGCCATATAATTCCTAATCTCATTTAATCAGCACATTCTATTTGAGGTATGGTTTTTCTCCTCTACTCTAATGGTTTGGCTAATTGATAAAGGCACAGGTTTTGAAATGTGTGTTTAAAACTCACTGTTTCATTTTGCATCTTAGGTACATTTACACAAATTCTGCTCTTTATATCTGACAACAAAAAGAAGAGAAAAATAACCTAACAGTGGAGGTTCTGGAACATGGACAGGAACAGGGAGTTAGTGTGAGATGGAAAGTGGCAGTCTGCTTTCCTCTCAACCTGTCTCCGTTCCTGAATGCGTCTCATCTAGCTGTGATGAGTGTGATTATAGTTATTTTAAACATGCACATTTTAAATGTTGGGACATTAAGCCTGAACACAAGCCAACTATTTGATCTAGTAATCAATTGATGGAACTGTGCTGCAGTAAAAATGAGCAGTGTCGGAATAATTGAGATGGAGTAAGCAGGTCTCCAGAGGGCCATAGTCTTAG